GAGCGAAAAAGCGAAAGAGAGAGAGAGCGCGCGCGCGCGAGAGAGAGAGAGAGAGAGAGAGCCTTCATTCCATTCACTGCAAGACGCCTATCACGTGACACCGCGGCACCTCATCACATGACACTGCTGGGGGCCAATCGCGTATCACCCCCCCCCACACGTAATCACGTGACATCGTGCTGTCCGATCTCAATCTCACCCCAGAGGTCACGTGACTATCGGCTTTTGCTTGAGCCGCCACACTTACACGTACACTTAAGATTAAATAGGTTGAACTAGTATAGACCGCAGGGCCACGACTATAGCACGAAGGGTCGTTGTCGTAACAGGTACTACAGATATGTACCCGAGGTAGTTCTAGGTTGTTTAATATTATGTTTATATTTTTATATGAGGTATGTGTAGGGTTAAGGTTAGGGTTAGAGTTAGGGTTAGGGTTAGGGTTAGGGATAGTGTTAGGTTTAGGGTACACTTCTGTAGTACAAGTCTGGTACACTTTGTGTATACATATATGTACCTCGGGTACATATCTGTAGTACCTGTTACGACAACGACCCCTTGAGCACGACTATAGGACTATAGACTATAGCTCGCGAGCAGATCTGTACGATTGCTGAGGTCGAGCGCGGCGCGGGAAAGATCGCACGACGGCAGACGAAAGAGCGGGTAGACCGAGCATAACGTGCGCATGAAGTTCTTCTCTATGCTGCGACACACCTCGCGCCACGAGCTGTCGCGCACACCGCACAGCTGCGACAGCTTCACGTCGGTGCTTAGCACCAGCTCGGGCAGTAGCAGGTCGACGCACGCGCTCGCGTTGCTGCGCGGCACGAACCGGACGACGCTGTTCGACCACGGCAGAACATCTTCTGCGGCCGTCGTCACGCGACGCTCGACGCAACGTGCGTACATGCGCGTCGAGTACCGACGCAGTCTGGCGACGTCGCGACGCATGCGCGCCGCGCCGTAGCGACGGACTCTCTCGTCGAACGTCGCCACCGCGACGTCGTACAGTTTCCCGTCGGCCCAGCTCCACGCTTCCGCTCTGCGTGCGTCGGCTGCCGACAGCTTGGAAGCGCCGCCGATGCGCTCGTTGTGCGCGACGACGATGACGTCATCCCACGACCAGCATAGCAGGTCGCGCAGCAGCACGAGCGACTCGTCGAATCTCTCTACTATCATGATCAGATCGAAGCGATCGAAGATCCGCGCGATCTTCGCATCGACTAGATCCTCGTTTTCGCTGTCCTCGAAATCCATCCCGAAATCGTAAAGCATCGTGTTTCGCGGCCGGAGAGCACTCGACCGGTCCCCGCGTGCGTACTTCGCGGGGTCCTGCAGAAACACACTGACGTTCACACCGTAGCGCGGCTCGAATCGCATGAACGAATAGATCGACTCCAGCAGCGCCGCCGGGCGGCGAACGACGGAAACGAAGGCGGCGCGAGGCATGAGCGCTCGCACGTGCAGCTCGTCCCAGCGCGCGTGGTGGCAGAAGATATTGTAGTCGTTGCTAGCGTGCGGGATCATGAGAGAGGGGGAGAAGCGCTGAGGGTAGCCCATGTGGAAACCGACGACTGGAAGGACGAAGGTGAGGTTGCGAGAGTGACCGTAGCGGAGGAAGATGTTTTGGAGGCTGCTGCTGGCGCATTTGTGAGTCTTCATAAAGTAGACGTCCTTGACGGGACCGCTGCAGCGCGGCGGTGGCACTGGCGGCGCTGGTGACTTCGGCTGCGCGCGCGGTGGAGCTGCTGTCGTCGGCCTGCGAGAGCGAGAAACAAGTGAACGGGTGCGCACGGCGGGGTAGCAAAGCTTAGAGAGAGAGAGAGAGAGAGAGAGAGAGAGAGAGAGAGAGAGAGAGAGAGAGAGAGAGAGAGAGAGAGAGAGAGAGAGAGAGAGAGAGAGAGAGAGAGAGAG